TATTTGAGAGTTTCAGGAGATAAATATGTGCCCCTCAAATATATAATTATTTGAATGATTAAAACTAGAACACTAAAATATGTGTGTAAAAACTAATGATTAATTTGTTAATTTATTTTTTAATAAGTGGATGCTCACTGTATTCTTTTGATCCTTTGCTATCATAAACTCATGAGATCAACAATTATTAAAACCACAGTGACTACTAATTTTCTTCCCGCAAGCTGCTTTCTGCAGGATTATTTCTTATAAAGCTAAAATAAAAAGACTTGGGGAGCCAGAAAAGTATGGTTTTATGACAGTAAATAAGAAACTGTCCTAAAACAAAAAGACATTTTTATTAATGACATTTTAAAACATGGTTTTCAGGATTATAAATGTGCCCACTCCAGATTCTTAACTCTTTATTAAGAGGTTTCTGTCTTCAAAGTTTGAGGCATTGACTAATTAATTCGTCCTTGCCATACCACTGAGAAATAGGCAAAAAAGTCAAATGGGAATTGAGTATATTTAGGGTTATAATTCTTGTGTTATTAAAACAGAATTAGTAACTGAGATTATAATAATTAGTGTGAAAAGGAATAGCAATTAGCATAGAAAAAATATGGCAAGTAGAAGTGTAGGCACACTCAGAAATCTAGGAGTATGACTCTGAATGAGTCTGATAGTCTGTTGCCAGCAGAAATTTTCATGGGATATGTTTTGGGAAAGCATGACGTGACCTTAAGGCACAGTCATATATGGATGTAGGTGCCATAAATTTACTGAAAACCACCTAGACTCTGTACACCTCCACCAACTCTTCAAAAATGTTTCACAAATGTTTATTTTCTATCATATGAAAACCTAATACTTCTTTTGCTTGTCTCAAAGTTGCCATTTCCCCTTCTTTCAACTATAACTTTTTTCTATAGATTTTAAGAAAGTAGTTAGCAAGTTTAGTTGATTTTATTTATGCCTCATGTTCTTTAATGTTTTACTTCTGAGCTTTTATTGTATATTTTGTCAAGACCCTTAATCCATTTATTTTTCTTGAATCTTTTTTTTTCTTTCATGTTAAATATTTCTTAAAGGATGAAATCCAAGAGCACATAATGTTTAAGCTGTAGCAATTGCACCATTGTTTCAGTATTACATTTAAAGAAATGTCATTGACATTGCTTTTTATGACAACGCCCAGGGTTCTGTTAGCCTTTTTGGTTGCAGAAGATTCCTTTGTTTTATATATTATTTGAGGTCATTTATTATTTAATTAAAGGATGCATAACTAATTAGTGACACAGCAAGTTTTCTCATTCGTACCTAACCAAAATAGCTCTTCTTCCTGCATTCATAATCTCAACTGGTGACACTATGCTTCACCAGTCACCCAACTAGAAGTCTGTGCTTGACTCTAGATGTTCCTCACTCACTCCCAACTTTTATGTCCAATTAATCACAAAGTCCTTCTTGTAGGATAGGAGAGATTAATGTCCCAGACTCCTGACCTCTAGTGAAGTGAATCTGAGGCATGTGTTTTTCTCTACTGTTTCTCAGACCATGGGTACTGAGGCCCAACCGCCTATAATGATAACATGTCCAATACTGTACCTGCTATTGATTTTTCTCTTTTCCTTGCTTTGCCCTTCCTTCTTCCTTGAGCAAGTGCCATTTGGGATCAACTTTCAAATAAACTGCCTACCCCTAAGTCCTTATATAAAGATTGACTTTGGGGGTAATCCACACTAAGCCAAAGCTCGAAGAATATGGAAGCCATGACTGACCAAGGTTGAGAGAATATTGCCGTCAGAAGGATGTCACATAGATGCACCACAGCCCAGAGTTAAGGGTAGCATGTTCAAGGATCTAAAATATGTTGCCTATGGCTGGCTGGACCAGAGAATATAAGGGTGAAAGTTATCAAGTAGTAGGAACCAGTTCATGGTGTGCCCTAGAACTCATGTTCATTATGTTGACATGACTCTTAGGGAGAATGGGATTCTAGATTGAATGATTTGAAGTGGGAAAGTGATATGCTAGATAATATACAGCAGCAAGCCCCATTAATTTTGGCACTAGGGATTGGTTTCATGAAAGACAGTTTTTCCACAGAGGGTAGGAGGGGATTGTTTTGGGATGATTCCAAAACATTACATTTATTGTGTACTTTATTTCTATTATTATTATATTATAATATATAATGAAATGATTATACAACTCATCATAATGTGGAATCTGTGGGAGCCCTGAGCTTGTTGTCCTGCAACTAGAAGGTCCCATCTGGGGATGATGGGTGACAATGATGGATCATCAGGCATCAGATTTCATAAGGAGCATGCAGCCTAGATCCCTTGCAAGTGCAGTTCAAAGTAGGGTTCATACTCCTCTGAGAATCTAATGCTGCCACTGCTGATCTGACAGGAGGCAGAGCTCAGGCAGTAATGCAAGCCATGGGGAGCGGCTGTAAATATAGATGAAGCTTTGCTGGCTTGCCTGCTGCTCACCTCTTGGCTGTGTGGCCCATTTCCTAAGAGGCCATGGTCTGTTGCCTGGGGTTGAGGCCCTGGCATAGAGAATGAATTTAAAGAGAAATAGAGCCATGGCGCTTATGAGGAAGTTATTGCAATGACAGTGACCTATGTTTGGAGAAGAGTATCAGATTGGCGAGAAATGAATGGATTACACAACTCTTTAGAAGACAGCATCTTCCTAAATTGACATTATGATTCCATATCAGAGTGAAGCAGGCAATAGTGGTAATTAAGGAAAACTGGTCTTTTAAACAGGGAAGCATTTCAGTCATTGGTGTTACTCTTCAGAACTACTGATGTATTTGCAGATTTCCTTTGAATATCTATTTGTCCTCAAGAAAAGGTCTTTAACTTATATCTGTATCTGTGTATCTTTTTTTGTTTCTTTCGAGACAGAGTTCTACTCTTTCACCCAGGCTGAAATGTAATGGTCTGATCTCTGCTCACTGCAACCTATGCCTCCCAGGTTCAAGCGATTCTCCTGCTTCCATTTTAGTAGAGATGGGGTTTCAACATGTTGGCCAGGCTGGTCTCAAACTCCTGACCTCATGATCCACCCAGCTCAGCCTCCCAAAGTGTTGGGATTACAGGCCTGGCCGTATCCATGTATCTTTATCTAATTCCAAACATATTTAAATACTTGCAGTGGCTGAGAAACTCATGTTACGCCTTTTAGTTTGTGTTTGGTGGTAATTGAAAGGGTTCATTAGTGATATATGTTTAAATCAAACTCTGACTCTAAAAATAAGAATGCATTAGGTAAATTTTGCCAATTTACTGATGAGCATGGAAATAAATGAGAATGATGAAAAGCAGTGTACTAAGCAAGTGCTTTCACAAAATGATTCCTGACATCTTTGAGATAAGTGATGCTGCCATTGAACCCTTCTTTCATTTTAGGGTTCTTAGTGGCCACTTATTTCAGCTAGCGCCGTGAAAATGGGTTTTGTTGTTCCTGTTAGTCAGCACAAAAGAAAAATGATCATAAATCTTTTATAAAGATGAGGCTTGCATTAAAAAGAAAAGAAAACCTAATTGAAAGGCACTTTATGAGTGATTAATTTCATGCCAAATAAATCATTAGAAGTCCATGATGGCCATAAAAACGCAATCATTTGCAAAATTGGAAAAATCTAAGTTAAATCTAGATATACTTTTCTAGTTTTAAAATTTGTGTATTGGGATGATATAATATACCAATTGTGGAATTTTAACGCAATAGTCTTTTATTATAGGGAGGTTGTACTTGTGTGCTGTCGGGCTCTCAACCAGTTAATTACTTTCCCTCTGAATACTTTTATTTCATTTGATCATCTGTATTATATTAGGTTGGTGTAAAAGTAATTGCAGTTTTTGCCATTACTTTTAGTGTTTCTCTTGTTTCTTGCCTAATAATAGTATATCTACTTAATATCATTTCAAACATATAACAAAGATTAGTATTTTTATATGTTATGGTTTTTAACATTTTAAAATATATTTTTTTAAGTAGATACCATATGCATATACAGTTAAATATCAACAGCTACATCATCAGGCCCCTTTTTAGGAAAACTAAGGGTACAATCTATGAGCTTTCTCCCTAAGTCTCTGTAATTTACTCCAAACCAAGTAAAAGAAGCTCTTCGGTAACCAATATTGTTTATCCTACAACTCTGTGTTTTTAAGAGTGGACATAATATGCTAAATTTGGAGAGCTGATTGTATTTGAAAGATAAAACTGTCTGCAGATCAGCCAGGCGTGGTGGCTCATGCCTGTAATCCTAGTACTTTGGAAGGCTGAGGTAGATCGCCTGAGGTCAGGAGTTCGAGACCAGCCTGGCCAACATGGCAAAATCCCATCTCTACTAATAATAAAATAAATGAATTTGATGCGGTGGCTGGTGCCTATAATCCTAGCTACTTGGGAGGCTGAGGCAGGAAAATTGCTTGAACCTGGGGGGCAGAGGTTTCAGTGAGCTGAGATTGCATTACTTCACTCCAGCCTGGGCAAAAGAACAAAACTCCATCTCAAGAATAAAAGTCTACAGGTTTAGATCTGTTGGTCAGTGCAAGACAGCTTCTATGAAACTGCTTTTCATTATGGAATGCACGGAAAACAAATTAAATATGTAACATAGTATAGCATAAAATCACTTTTGCATTTTAATCCAATAAATCTTGGCATAACATGCACTACTATTTCAGAGGAACTAGTCAAACTAAAAAGAACCTCAGAATAAGCTGCTCATCATCACGACTGAACTGATTATTCAGTGGACAACTAAAATGCAGTGGTGATGGTAACTTTATTCTTTTCATATACTTCAAACCTTTAATTACCGGGAAAAGTATTCTTTAGTATCACCGAAGACTTAGGCTTTAAAAGTGAACTACAGTAAGTGCGGGGTAAAGTAGAATCATCATTTTTGTTTTAAGTGAAAGGCTCTTCATTTTACATTTTCTATGCTATACATTATTGATTTCCTTCTCTGGTGTTGTTCTTTGCAGAGAGTGAATCTGTCCTTCGATTTTCCATTTTATGGCCACTTCCTACGTGAAATCACTGTGGCAACCGGGGGTAAGTGGTTTTCTACCCATTCACCTTAAGTAATCTATGGTTTGACTACAGTTACTATTTTTAATTTACTCTATATTTCAAGACGGATATTTATTGAGAAAACCATTGTCTTTTCTCACAAAGTCATAGGTATAAATAAAACCAAAGGAAGGGTATTGCTATTGGAAAACCTTTTCAGCAGAAAAAAAATATTTATAATAATTTTCAACCTAGATCAACTCTGCTTTTCTTCTAAATTTTAATTCTTTTTTTTTTTTGGTAATATGGTAAGACTGTCCAAATGGCAGAAATTGGAATAGAGCTAGAAAGAAAGACTGCTTACAGAAGCTGCGGGTGACTTTAATTTCCTTTTAATGTAGTTGCTATATGTGTGTGTGTGTGTGTGTGTGTGTGTACGTGCACACACATGTGTATGTATACATAAATGTGTGTATATATATACTTACACATACTTATATATACAAAAACATGCAACCATATGCACATTAGCTTTGATCACTTTTTTCTTGACTATTACCTATTTTGATTGACAACTCATTTGAGAGTCTTAAAATAAATGCTAAAATCCAGCTCATATAAGTTTATTTTTCTCCACAAGCTTGGAGGTTAGTTTAGAGATTAGCAATATCCTAGCAAAGTAATTATCATTTTTATTGTATATCTCAGAAGCCAGAAATATTTTAATCTTCAAGTGCTACTAGAAGAGATAAGCAAAATGCCAGAAAATATCCCTGTAAGCTTTATGATGAAGGGGTAGGGAAGAAGGAGTGAAAAAAACAGAAAAATGGAACAGTAAGTAAAGAAGTAATTAAAAGAAATCCCATTGGTGTTCAAAGAGGCTATGAGCGTCTATGCCTAAAGTACCGTAGACAGAGTCTCTTTCCTTCACTGCATCTTACCAGGAGCCTTCTGGATGGTGTGGAAACCATGGTGAGCATTGCCATATTTTTGCCATACTTTAATATAAGACCTAGAAGATATGTAAGATTCAGAAGAAGATTTGTAATTAGAAATATCAACAAGCAAATGGAAGTTTTGTGAGCACCTACTCTGAGTGATGGTAAATAAAGCTACCTCTGCCTTAGAGGTGTATAGGTTAGTGGAATATTAGGCAAAGTAAGGCAGAATGTGGAGAATTGCTTAGGAAATACAAATGATGAAATATGCCCAGGTGCTGTGGCTCACACCTGGAAGCCCAGGCGGGAGGATCACTTGAGCCCAGGAGTTTAAGACAAGCTAGGCAATACTATGAGACCCCATATCTATAAAAACATTTTAAAAATTAATCAGGCATGGTGGAGTGCTCCTGTAGTCCCACCTACTCAGGAGGCTGAGGCAGGAGGACCACTTAAGGCCAGGAGTTTAAGGCTGCACCAAGCTGTGGTCACGCCATTGCACTGCAGCCTGGCTGACAAAGCAAGACTCCATCTCTGAACATAATAAAATAAAATAATTAGCTGGTATGGTGGCATGCACCTGTAGTCTCAGCTACTTGAGAGGTTGAGGCAGGAGGATCACTAGAGGTTAGGAGTTTGAGGCTGCAGTGAGCTATGACCACACCACAGCACCCCAGCCTGGGCAGCAAAGCAAGATCCTGTCTGTAAAGAAAAAGCAAATGAAAATTAGAAAACGAAAATACAGATGATAAGCTATAGGCTTCCAGGATGGTATAACGCAAATATGTATGTGTCTTAAATGAGAGTCATTTAGGGCTACAGAAAAATTGTTGTTCGAGGTGTTTCTTGGACAGTATGAGAATTTCTATGGTTGTGTAGAGAAGGAAGAGAGGGTCACAGCCAGGAAGATCCTGAGTAAATATACACACGAGGAGAAGGGCTAGGTATGATTTGGATAGTAAATAATTGAATTTGAGTTATGTCATTGGTATCTTTACCAAAAAATGTGGCATATTAAGATTGGAAAAGTAGGTTGGGACAATTTGACAAAATGCCATAAGGGACAGTTTGAGTCATTAGCCCTTAATTAAGTAATAAACTTTAGGAAAATGAATATAGATGCGTGTATAATACATTAAAGTGTAAAAATATTGAAGTTAGTACATTTAATTGGAAGAATATTGTGACCATTTGTGTGAAAAATATTGAAGCTCTTGGTGATTTTGTTGCTTCAACCCACGGAAAACGAATCATACCATTCGTACCAATTACAGAGTCAAGAAGTACTGGCTTTAGGGAAAACCGTGGCTTCAATAGTGAAACTTAAATTTTGTGTGAAAAAAAGGACTATATCTAAATAACATTGCTCACAAGAAGTATGTCTTTTGAGCTTATCAGGTATATCCAGTATAGTGCCAGGCATTTGATTAATTTTGTGAAAGGGTTAAATGAAAAGAGGAAGAGGAAAATTGAAGGATGGCTCCAATAAGCCAAGAATTGTATCTTGTCCTCTCATGTCATAAAATATAATAGAAATATGATGATCTTAAAATACAGACATTAAGCGTGTTACCTGAAGTTTAGGTGACCAGCGTTCTCTTGAATTTTTAAAAACTGAACTATGAACCACATGTGTTTAAAATGTGTACACACAGTGGTAAAAATGACAGCCTTGTATTTTCAATTTCTCAAGTTGTTTTATCTTTAAGACTCATGTCAGCAATTCAGCCAATATGTAGTAAGATTTCCCCTAGAAGAGCTGGTAGGATCAAATCCAAACAGATGGCTGTATTATCATTGTGACTTGAAAGTGCCATTTTCCTTTGTAAAGATCCTCAAAATAAGTGCAAAAAATCTGATGTCCCGAATGATCTCTATCTTCTTTGAAGGAAACACTAATGTAGAGGCACTCCTTTTGTTTCTCTACTTAAAACATACTGGCATGCAACTTGCATATACCAATCTGTGCTCTGTTTAAAGAGGTAGAGCCAAGATAGTCTACACATTGACCTGGGTTTCTTCAAAATGAAACCTGAGTCTCATGTAAAAGTTTCCCGCTAAGTACATCACTTGCTTGCTCTTTCCTTGTTCATTTCATTCAGTCAGTATTTCTTCAGCTTCTATAAAACATACAACACAAGATGCTTTGTTATATACAGAGAAGGATAAGCTAAGTTTAGGAGTAGAATCAAAGAAGAGGAAGGGGTGTTGATAGGGTTTGGCTGTGTCCACAACAGCATATCATCTTGAACTGTAGCTCCCATAATTCCCACATGTCTTGGGAGGGACCAAGTGGGAGGTAATTGAATCATGGGGGCAGGTCTTTCCTGTGCTGTCCTTGTGATTAGTGAATAAGTATCAGGAGATCTGATGATTTTATAAAGGGGAGTTCCCTGCCCGCACTCTTGCCTGCCACCATGTACGATGTGCTTTTGTCCTCCTTTGCCTTCTGCCATGATTATCAGACTGCCCCAGCCATGTACAATTGTGAGTTCATTAAACTTCTTTCCTTTATAAATTACCAAGTCTTGGTATGCCTTTATTAACAGCACGAGAAAAGACTAATACAGGCATGATGTGAATAAGCAATTGAGAAGGCTGATTGCAAGTGCTGAAAGAGCAGAAGCTTGCTTAAAAAGGAGATGGTGCTTGTTGGGCCAGTCTTAAAAACAGTCTGGGAAAGTGCTAACCTTCAGGATTGGCCTTAAAGGGAGGGAAAATTTTAGTAGGCAAAGAGGCAGTTGAGAAGTGGAGAAGGAAGAGACATTCCAGACAAGGGGATGCTGAGCCAAGTGACAGTGCTGAGCCCATATTGGGCATATTTGGAGGGCTGTAAAGTAAATAAGTTTATCCTGAAGAGAGAGTTGGACTGAGTCTAGTGAAGGGGAGTTGGGAAGACTGATGTGGAGTACTTTAAACATTAGAGATCTAGATGACATCCAGCAAGCATTGGGTTTCTCAGAGAACTAGATCTGGCCTGATCCGTAAGTGGAAAGGTTGAAGGGGGTGAAAGCAGAAAAAGCAGTTACCAGTTTTTTGAATACTTTCTAGTGGGATATGGTGCCTGAACTAGGATGGGTACAGTGGAAAAAGACACATGGACCCAGTGCAAGACCCATCATTTGAGTTTTTAAATCACTGTGGTCAGAAAGACTTCCAGCCAAAAGGATCCAGTAGGGTGCAATGAATCAAGCTAAGAACAGCTTCAAGGACTTCTGAACCATAGACTTTTGATGGATCTCTTCTGTGATTGACCAGACAGATCTTATAATCAGACAAACCTTTTTGACAGATGCTTACAATCTTAAAAAGGTTCTTAACCATGCAAGGCTTGGAAGAAAAATGAAAACCACAAGTCAGGTTAAATAAAGTTGACTGCAGGCCATTCCAAATAGACCTGGGGCTGGGATTTCTAAGTAGAAACACAAAGATACCTCTTTTGTTGACTGTCAAGTTCTTTTTGTGTTTACAAATTCCTCTTGAACCTGTTTCTACATTGGGTATGGGAAAAATTAAAGTGATATGTTTTAATGGTGAATCCAAGCTGTGTGAATAAATAAAGTCCATGCTTTAAACCACAATCCTCTTCATCTTACTTCATGGTTTTGCCATTTCCCATATCTCCCTAAAATCTCTCTCTCTCTCTCCACACAGACACAAATTTAAGATTGAAATTAAGTCAAGATAATGTCTCATGTTATTGCTAGGATCAGCACAATCTAAAAATGGCAATTTGTTTAACAATATAGACATATATATGGTTTACCATGGCCCATCTTTGTATACATATCTTACTGTGAATGAGCTTAAGTTTCTAATTTAAAATGTAAATTACAACTAAACATCTGCTCATTTATTTATAAACTATAAAAATAAAATCTTTGCCTATTAAGCATTTTAATATTCAAAAGCTTCAATCATCCATATGTACAAAATGAATTGAAAATATTATCTTTATTTTCTGGTTCACTGATAGTGAAATCTGAAAGTATTCATTTATCTTTCGATGTCAAAAATACTCCAGAATACAAATATTTCAGGCACTAGAAAACTACTTCTCTGTGAATTTCATTAAAACATTTCCATTAGGGCCGGGCACGGTGG